AAAGTAGGCTGCTTGAGTTTGGCTAACAGGGAAACAGAGCCTGGGTACAGCAACAAGTACAAGACAGAAGTTATTGGTTCAATACTGCATTAAAGTGATAAGAAGAACAGCAGTCCAGTGACTCTTGTGCAGTCAAAGCATTTATAAAGAACTCTTGAGAGCAGAGCCTGCTTTTTTTTTTTTCCTCCCATGCACAAGAAGTAAGCAATCATTTTTGCTAGGTAGACACTGAAAAATGGGCAAACTGTCAGTTGAACATGGTTGCTTCAGCAAACTTGGTGAAGAACAAGCTAACTTTAAGGATTTATATGAAAATTAATGATAATGATGTTTTGTTTGACAGTGAACTAAGTTTTGCCAAAAAGGAGAGGAAAAGAAAGAGCTCTGCATTTTACTTGAGCTAGAATGCCTCAGCTTACTGAACGGCTCTCCTTTCCCCCTCCCTCCTCATCTGCTGAAAGCAGTAGTGATTACTGAAAAGCAATGATTCTTCCCTGACACATCTCAAATTTCCACACAATCTCAAATTTTTTTGGAGACAGATTACACTAGGTGATACAGAGATAGAATTTATCCACTACCACTTTCCAATTTGCCACAAAATTTTTACCTCCTGAGGCAACTTTTCTAGCGCTACATCTGTATTATTGAGAACTTACATACATTATCCTTTTAAAGGACATAATTTGGTATAACAGTTCCATGAAAGGAAATGTAAAACATTCCTGACAATCCAGTCATTTTGCTCTGACAGTTTTAACGACTTTCTGTAAAAACCATCAATACACAGCTGAACTTCATGGCATACGCATTCAAGCTGTTAAGACTTAAATTACCAGCCATTATGTAAGCAGTTTTTAAACATACTTCAACAGAACTGAACGATAAACAGTCTTTAAAAACACCTGACACACAATTATGGAAGTGTATCCAAGTTGTCTGTCTTTCAGTGTAATTCACTGGCATTATACTAAAGTGAACATAATTTCAGTGTAACCTAGATCTGAAACATAAAGTTCTGATATTTCACAGTACTGACAATCACCATCACTTTCTGCTATCACATACACTTAAGTCCAGTTAAATTAGTTCTCATCTATCCATAATGTATTTTACATCCTGATCTCCTCCCAGTCATTCTTGTATATAAACAGGAGAATAAGTAAGCAAAGTGTTTTGCTCTACATTTCTGAAAAACAAAGGAAAGCAGTAATAAATCTATTTTTCATCATTTGTTCCGAATTCTTTTCACTATAAATCAGAACAAAAATCACAGTCTGAATGAAGTCTGTACAATGGCAGGTTGCTAGGGATAAGCACATAGCTTAAGCTGAAGCATTGGTCTACCACTTAATTCTATTTATGTTCTAAAAACATCAGTTAGTTCAAAACACCCACAACAAAATACTACAATTTTAGTTTGAAGAAACTGTATTCACTTATTCATGGCTACTTTTGCATCCTACAATATATCTCCTTATCCATAAAGAAAAAGAAACAGAGTTTCTTTCCTTTTCAGAGACTCTGAGAGAGTCTCAGAGTTTCTTTCATCTGTCTGCAAAGGAAACACACCTTTCTACAAGCAAGTATCAGGTCAAAGCTTTTAGGGGAGCAGTGCAAAGAAGGTCACATTATCAGGTGGCTTTCGCAATGCGGTGCTCTGCTACAATTGCAGTAAAGAAAGGAACAAGCAACAGCAGCCAGGATGTTGAGGGGGTGGAGCAAAATAGGCAAAGAAATGCTGGCCAGGTGTTCTATTGCTTCTCCACTGTCCTAGGACTACTTATATTGGTAGATCACATCAGAGAGAACAGTAAATAAAAAGGAAATAATAGCATTAACAAACCCACCACTATTTTGGCAATTAAATTGCCAAATAGCAAATATAGCAGAAACACAAGTATCCAGAGCTAAACCATTGACCCAATAAGGAACTAACAAAACCTAGAATGTGATCCATCAAATTAGAAAAAGTCAGTCCAGCCTGATTTTCACTGAGCACCTACATACATCACTTCCTTCAAAAAGGCTTACTCATAAAATCCTCTTACTAATAGTCTGCTTTCTTAAAAAGCATACACAAATTTTCAGTGCACATGTGGTGAAATAGGCTGCCATAGCACAACATCATTTTTCAATAATAGAGGAAAACACTTGTAATTCATAATTCATAATCACCAAGTGTTTTGAGTGAGCTCAGTCACCACTGATATTATTATTAGCGTCATTAACACCACGAATATTCTCACCACACAGCTGTACCTAAGCCAGGTTTAAACTAGATAGCAGTCCCCCTATCTGACAACGTGTCCATTTAATACCATCCGCCCGAAATCACATGGAGAGATAAGCAGGCACAGGTCAGTAGTATGAAGAGCTAGCCATACTCAAAGGACACGGAAGAGCTAATGATACATACTTAATAATGCATTTCAACATACTATAGTAAGAATCACTGAAAGGTACGTGCCTCATTAGCTACTAGGTTGTACCAATTATTGCCAAGTAATTTTGTAAATGCATGAGTCACCGAATTCCCTTAAGCCTAGGTTATTGACCAATTCCCATTACAAAAGATGAACGTTTTGGGATGTACTTTACTGTTTTAAAGAGGGAGAATATATATTAAGTTTCGCAATATATTTGTGAAACAGCCTTTGGTATACATTTGGCATTTTCTTGAAAAGGTAAAGAATGGCTTCAAAGGGAAGCCACCTTTGTAGTTTCCCATGAAGCATTTTGTCACCTCTAAACAACTTTAAAACAATCTTAGCAAAAGATGACAGCTGCATGGGACCTCTTACTTATCTTACAGTCAGAAGCAATCAAATCACAAATTCTTTCTTAAACTTATCAAATTCAACCTTTACAATTTTATTGGCTGGTTTTCCTTCCAATAAATTACTTTCTGAAATCTTTAGTGATGGTGAAAATCTCTTTCCAAAAGCACTTACGGACAACTTACATCTACTTGCTCTTATGTATTCACTGTTCTTTAGATTAACTGTTGTTCTTATTTTTAAAACATTGTATTTCTAAGCATTAACTACAGTTTCCCTACTTTTTGTCCCTCTGATCTCTCTGTAGTCCTCTTCCATATGATGAATTCTACAATTCTTTTATCATCCTTTGTGCCTGCCACATCTTGAATTTATCAGACAGGTAACACATAATACACAACATCAGGTGAGATCTCATTAAAACTACCAATGTGGTTTAAAACTTCAGCACTAAGGGAAATACCTGAAATCTAGGACCATGCTTGATTTTTCCTGATTTCTCTGTCCTTTCCAAGTGATGAACTCAAAACTTGTAGGAACATCTAAACATATTGAAAAAGTCTTTACCATCATTAGACTCATTAGATTAAAAAGGAGGTTGTCTCTGCATGTATGCTGGTCAGGTATGTCAAGCCAGTGAAAAGAAATTAAGAAAAAAGATATTTTTCTGGTGTGGCCCTGTATAAATTATACAAATTGCCTTGCTTGTAAGAGACATTATTTCAGGTATGTAATCATGTTTTTTAATTAATTCATATCACGTGGTCTGTTAGCTTTCAGAGACAGACATGGCTTAAGCAATTGTACTTTGTAAAAAAAAGGTGTCTCTGTTCCTCACACAATTAGGACTAATTATTAGATATTCTCCCTCTGACTACCATGACTTTTCAGCTGTTAAAGGGATGTGGTTCATCTTCACCATGAGGACAAAAGGACATAGCCTTCTATGTCGCTGTGGCATTTTCTCAGCACGGGGAATCTTGAAGTTCAACACAGCAAAACCTAAATCAAGGCAAGTGCAACCAAGGATATCTTTAATTGAATTTTGGACAATCTAAAGAAGTCAAGTATGTCTTCAGTACATATTTCTTCAGAGCACTTCAGCGTAGTGAAGTCTGTTTTCTGGAATCTAAATGACATTATCATCAAAGATGCAATCTCTAATGCATGTGCACACTACCACAGCTCTAACTATGCAGCAAAGTTTTGTTCAAAACTGAGGTGTGAAGGATTTCTCAATCACATAAGCAGGTCAGGTGGAGTTCAGCTGGATTGTTCTCCAAAATCTATGCAGTTACACTTTACTGAAGAGGCACTTTCAGCATTTAAGAACTTTGCTGTTTCTTGTCACAAGTGCACTATTCTTCCAGTGCACCCCAGTGGATTCATCAATGATGCACTGCTTCATCAATAACAAGATGGCACTTCTCATGCTATCCTAATCTAATCCTTAGATAAATAAACTGGAAAAGTCCTGTATTATTTCAGCACTTTGTTCAGAGAATCACACATTAAAAAGTACAATGAAGGTTTATCAAGTTATATTTCATAGTAACCAAAACAAAAATCGTGTTCCAAGAATACAACTGCTTATGAAAAAAAAAAAAACAAAAACAAAAAACCAACCAAAAAAAACCCCACTACATTGCAGGGCCAACAGAATACATCACTATTTGATCCCAAGGAAGCTTTACAGTTTCCCAAAATAGTAGCTGCACAGTCTCAAAAGATTCACTCCATGTTGCTCACTATATCTATGCACAAATTCTAAAGGATAAGTTATCCTTTGCCTAGGCAAACTACTTCATAAAAATCAGAAAGATGACTTCCCTGAATTTTTGCTGCAGCCAGAAGTGAAACACAACAAACTACATAAATCAGTGTAAAGTTACATTTCAATTACTTTAGATTTCCTGAAGCTGATGGAAGGACTTTGCAAGCAAAAAGTCACATTATTAGCAAAAGTCGTTTTTATGAAATTAAAAGTTAATATATTTTATTACCTTCTCTATTTTTCAGACTATTAAGAATCCTGAATTTCTAATTAATTCCTTACATCATCCTAATGTAAATCAACACCCTTGGGTTTCTTGCTGAGCTAACTTTGAAGGGTTTGTTCACCTAAGGGATAGGAGAGGCCTGGTTGTTAGGTTTTCTGTGCTTCCTCCCTCCCCTTCTGATCATTTTTTACATAATATGTTTCCCAGTTAACTAACAACATTATAATAATAAATGATAAAAAGCATGGATTCTAACCACTTTGTCCTCCTTTGGGAAAGCATCCAAGGAAGCAGAAAAAAAAAAAAAAAGAAAGAAAGAAGAGAAAAAGAATAAAATAGGCAAGTATTAACAAGCAGATTTCAAATAAATGCAATTCTAGTAACTCTTTACAAAGAGCTAAGAATGTAAAACAAGCAAAAAAAAAAAGCTTTAAATAAAAATGTCACACTACTGCATGTGTAGAAAATGTTTTCCCACCCTAACCCACAGAACCATGAACAAATGAAAAATAAGTTACAAACAAATGGAAACTTTCCATTTCCATTTCTGTGACTCAGAACAGTAGGTGAAAAACAAATAATATATATTCAGTTTCTTTCTGAGTAAATACAAACTGCGTTATATGCACTTCCATTAATAGTACAGCCAAACACATCCAAGTGAACTGTATTTTCACAGACTTGCTCTAGTGATACCACCTGCAGGTGACACAACATAATGCATCCATTTACCTTAAAAAACGAATGTATGAAAATTTCTGCCCAAGACACCTACATCATTTTTTCAGAAAAAGAATTCAATGTATTGTACTCACAGGTACACGAGGGCTATGGAGAATTTCCAAAATAACGAGAAATGGGTATTTTTCTAAGGGTTTTTGTTTGTTTGTTTTATATCAAATTTCAGAAACCCTTTTCTGTTGAGTTTTAGAACAAAGAAGATGAAAAGGCCACAAACTAATTCTACTGTGGACGTGTTTATCTGAAATAGAACTGATGGCCACTTTTAACTGAATTTGCATTGATGGGAAGGAGTAAAATTTCACATACAAAATATCAGCATCTTAAGGCCGTATTTGAAAATCATCATCTCATGATAGTCAACAAAATCATGTGCAGTAAAAAGAGTATTTGTAAAATGTTCTGAAACACACTGGATGATCAGCCAAAAGCAATCTCTGAACAGTGCACTTCCAAATACAGATCCTTCCAGTCACAGACAGGTAACTGACCAGTTCTTCATAAGAACTGCCCTAACAGGGCATGTGGGCAAACACTTCCATTTTGTGGGGAGGCAAAGATTTATCTCACCTGTCCGAAAGTAGGGTATCTGATCCAGATCAATCTATAGTTTTACTTTTGAAATAAATTTTAAATAAATTTACAAAACTTTCTTTGTGGTAAGGAAGACTTCTTCCTAACCAAAAAGTGCACTGTTTTTATGTAAGAGAAACCTATATGTATACAAAAAGCTCTATAAAGAAGAAATTTGAACTGAAGTAAGTTCAATAAAAAAAATCTTAATGCGGAGATTGGCCTCAACAAAAGGGTTTTTTCTTTCATTCTCCAAAACAAATTTCCTTCGAGCCCCCATTCAGTAGAAGTATACACTATGTACTCTTATCTGTTCAGTTAACTCTGCGAAACCTGAGTATCTACAAAAACATTAGATACATTATTCTACTTCACATATACCTCATAGTGAAGTGATGAATAAAACACTGAAGTAAAATGAAGCATGAAAAGCCAAACTTAAGGTGAACAACCTGCAGCGTGAAAATGTTAAGGCTTTTTCTTAAGAATACATATCAGAAGACTTACATTGTTTGATCGCAGAGAGACACGACCTCCACATCGAGCACAAAACTTGGTCCGGCAATAAGAGCATAAATGGCCACAACCATCTGCAAACTTTGTTTTATGACAGATTCCACATGTTGGAGCATCATCCTTGTGCTCTCCCTGGTAACGGCGGGCTTCTTCCCCTATCTTTCTTACTTGCTCTTTATAGCTTTCAAATTGTTGATGCAACCTCCTGCATAGATGAGAAAAAAGTTTATATAGCAAGAATAGGAGGAAACACTACTATTGTGACTTTCTTTCTTTCAATTTATAACTAAACCTAATATTCTTGGCATGTTCACAGTAATACCATAGCTCACATCAAATACACACCACATTTGGTAAAGGAAAAAATTAATACATATATATCAATGTTAGGCTTCCTTCAAAGCTGGTGAGCATATCACTTGACCACAAGCTGATTAAAATATACAGAGATGGCACAAAATACACAGCTTTACCTAGAAGCATCTACTCTGTGCAAGATAAAAGCTAAACATAATTGTCTGAGCAAATCTGCATTGACTTTTAACCATATATATATATATATATATATATACCAGTAAGTATGATCAAAGTCAAAATAAAGTAAGAGAGAGAGAAACTCAATTGTCATTTGCAGCATTACTTCTGTTTTCAAAATCTAAATTGCTAGCATACATATCTTAAAGATTCCAACAATCGTATTACAATCACACAGGCACTAGAAGAATCTGAAAACAAATTCCAAAATCAAATCAGAATATTAAAAAAATGTAGTATTCCCTGGCTAGTGTTAATTACAGAGATCTCTGAGGCTTGCTGTCTCTTATTACAGAGATTCCTTTCAACTTAGCCACAGAAGTATCAACGAGCAGGCACATTTTTAAGATGAAGCAGGATGTTCAAAGGAGTAGCGCTTCTCCTTCAGCTATCCCACATCACAAGGAGAGTGAATCTTAGAAATGAATCATATAGAATTATATAGAATATAGGTTGGAAGGAGACCTTTAAGATCACCCACTTCCAACCCCCTGCTATAGGCAGGGACACCTCCCACTAGACCAGGTTGCTCAAAGCCCCATCCAGCCTTGTCCTGAATGCTTCCAGGGAGGGGGCATCCACAACCTCTCTAGGCAACCTGTTCCAGTGTCTCACCACTCTTACAGTAAAGCATTTCTTCCTGATATCTAGTCTAAATCTACCATCTTTCAGTTTAAAGCCATTTTCCCTAATCCTACACATCCTTATAAAAAGTTCCTCCCCAGCTTTCCTGTAGACCCCTTCAGGTACTGGAAAGCTGCTGTAAGTTCCCCTGCAGTCTTCTCTTCCCCAGACTGAAGAGTCCCAGCTCTCTCAGCTTGTCCTCATAGGGAGGTGCTCCAGCCCTCTGGAGCTTTTTCATGGCTCTGGAGCATTTTCATGGCTCTTCTGTAGACCCACTGACAGCTTGCCAAGCAGCTGGACAAACTGTTCTGCTACCCAAAAGACTCAGCTTCTAAGTTCGTTAAGGCAAGCATGTTCATTTATTTTCAACACCTTGAGCAAAGACCTCAAGCAGACCAAGTGGGCGAGTTACAGTAAGGCACGTACAAAGTTAAGGCTTTTTATCATGCTGTATGGCACCTACAGACTCTTCGCCCACCTTCTCAGATTTTGCTTTATATCTACATTTCCAAGGATAACATTAAAGAAGCATGAACAATCAATAGATTATTAATAGATACAGGGATTCTTGAGTTTAATAAATGGTTTGGGTAGGTGTGTTGTCTACTGAGATCTTGATAATAACTCAGCCACTTGCTCTGAGCTACTTACTCTCTTAGCACAGAGACTGACACCATTTAACCAATGCATTGCTAGCAAGAGATTCTCTTTTACTCCGGGATCTTTTTTTTTTAATAGGGTATTGTTTTGACTTTTTAAGAAATAAATAATCAGTGTTATTTACAAAAAACATTGTTTGGTGAAGTACTTTGGATATATTTATTCTATGACGACACTCATACTTAGAAAATAATAACTATCAGAAATCACAGTAAAATATTCATTCAATTTGGATATGAATATCACTGCTTGCACCGATTTTCACACTTAAGAATAACAATCTTATCTGGATGCATTCTACTGATGCAGCAATAGTTAAAGGGAAAGCTAAAATTCCAACTATTACAAAGATGATGTATTACACTTAGTGCTTTATGCTAATGAAAATCTTGGAGGAGGTAGCAAAGGGATTTTTTGTCTTATTTTTATTTCTTACTAGCCTCCTTAAAAAACCTTTTCAGTGATGAGTAAGATGAAGAAAGTAGGTCAATAGAATTAGGAAAAATACTGGAGAAACTTAATACTTTTGGCCACATTATTGGATTACACATATGATTTAACGTATTTTACACAGCTGATCACTTAGAATGCACAAAAACAACTGAAAACATTCAGGAATAACTATCATAACCAACTTAAGGAATACATTTAAATAACGGGGAGGTCTGTAATTAAATTTCCCTCTATATAAAAATATATTATTGAAAAGTGGAACCATGAAAACTAAATTCCGTTCTCCTCCACCATAGCAAGATTTAAAGCTCTGATTTTTAATGTGGAAAGGAAAGGAAAGCAGTGCTCCCATTCCTGCTCTTTTCCAATTATACACTGTACATTTGATTTTTTGTTGATCTTGTACGAAGCTTAAAAAGCACATTAATATAATGTTTTACCCTTCTCTGTGCACTAAGGGCTAGATGAAATTACTCACAACTAATTTAGCTGAGAGATTTATTTCTAAATCAGTATTACTTACAAATTTCTTACTTAATGCGTCATTGTATGATCAGCCTTTTTACATACAGTTTAAAAAACATCTGCTTATCTTGCATATATACATTCTGTGTTACTGGAAAAATTCTAACATACTCTGTATGACAGGAATGGAACTGAAGACAACGGCAGCAAATTTCAGGAACCAGCACACAAGGTTGTATGAATGCTATTTGCTGATGTTGGAGAAGAAGAGGCCATCAGAGATGTGCTTCACTCTCTAAGCTTTCAGGTCATTAATTCAGGCTATACTCAGAGACGCAGTGCTATCAGACTTCCAGGCCTCCAACTACACTTACATTTAAACAGAGCTGTGTAAATAGCTGCTTCTCTGCTACTGGGCTTAGTGAATGAGCTATAGGGGAAATTAAAGGAATTTTTTTCCATCAAAATCTGTTATTTTTCCAGTAGCAAATGCTAAAATACAGATGGATAATTTTCAAGATCGCTCCATAAGCACATTTTCATCAGATGCAGGAAAAATTTAAGTCTATTAAATATTCCTTAATGTAGCCAAACACTTAAGTGTTAGGTTAGAGACTTAATAACAGCACATAAAGTAAATGCAACAAATATCTATTCAGTCCCCTCTGACAGGACAAACAGGCCATGATGTAAGAGGAATACGTGCATGTATTTATACTATTTTTCATCATGCACTCCAAAACCTAGATAATTCTACTACTGACATCAATACCGCAGCCAAAAAGGGGAGTTCTCCCCTCCCAACAGTTTCCAAAGAATGAGGAAGAACAGAAAAAATAATACTGGAAACCATCCCAGTAGTTAACACTGATGATTGAGAACGTACATAAATTGGCATGAAGAAGTTTCACATAAATTTTCCTTAAAAAACAAAAACCTTCACAACACTAAAGTCCCCATCCAGTTGCATTCTATAACATGTACGATAACAAATACAGCTAAATTCAGTATTCATTTTTATGGTATTTCACATTCATACAGGTGGTATGTATGAGTGCGATCAAAAAGATGGGTGTGTATTTTTTGGGCACACAATACAACTAAAAAATATCTTCTGTTGCTAAGAGCCCAGTGGAGATGCGTGGTGAGGCACATCATAGCATCTTTTCTGGACTTGTAAGCACCACCCTCAACACCTTACCACAGATACACCAGCTGTTGACACCACCAATGATAATGACAATGATAACGACAAGAATAAACTGAAATTTTCATGCCTATAGTGGAAGACTTAAACGACTAACTTTTACCTTATGATCATAAACCCACATTTAGGTTTTCCGCTTTTCATTTCAAGAGAATTTCATCATGTCATATATGTACGTTTTCATTTGAAAATGCAGTATTTCACACTGATACAACAAACACTTGAAAAAATACCGGTAGGCAATTTTGCAAAGCCTTACTCATGTATTTATGGGCTACAAAAAAACCAGAAGCCTTAAAGGACACTTGTGTGAGTAACCATCTGACACACCATGAAATGTTTATATGATTGGTAGGACAGACAACAGACGTGCAGATATAATCCACAGTATTTACCGATCAGAAGGTGGCATGTCAAACCACACAGAAGTTATCATTTACGGTGGCTTTTTTTTGAGCTGGCCCAAGATGTACACTTATACTGCTGTAATCACCTCCACTAAGCACATCTTAAAACTATGGCCCAAAAATGCCATTTTTGATAAGCAGAATGCTATGACTTCTTAACTATTTTACACTTGCATTCCTGTTGTATATATCTGAAATATTTGCACATAAACACTGAAGATTAACAAGAGAAAAAATGGTGCCCTTGTGTACATATGCTCTGTTTGCACAGATCTTCTAAAAATGCCAAGATTTGGGTCACCTTTATGCACAGCTACATTTTAAATTATGTTTTAATGTAGTATGATATCATGTTTCAGTTACTGAAAAATCCAGCAGAGGGCAGTAAAGACCGCGTTTTCAATCCCTCTGTTCAATGACTCTTAAAATCTCTTGATTTAACATTATAAAAATATTACTCTTCCTTGTGTTTTTGTCAGAAGACAAAGTGCTGCCTTCTAGCTGACCTAACCTAAGGAACTGTAAGTGGCTGCAGCACAAATGAAAAAAAAGCATAACAAAAAGCAGTATTTTCCCATGTTCACCATGCATACTTGTGTTCACCCACACACACTCAGAAACACAATAAGAACACACAATTTTTTTACAGGACATCAATGAGACTTTTACAAAGTTCTGTTCTTAGCATTCTGTTTTAAAGCAAATTAAAAAGTGCTTCAAGAGTGCGAACTCAGACTCTACACATTAATTTCAGTTGCAGAAATAAACGTACAAAAGACGAATCTTCAGTAACACACTAGTATGATAACTTACAAAAAATGTACAAAATAACAGGAAGTTCTAGCACTGCTGGTT